GAGTGGAGGGAGCGGGCGGGTTGGTAGAGGTTTAGGAGGTCACAGAGGTAGGGTGGGGCGAGACCATTGAGGGCTTTGTAGGTGAGGACCAGGATTTTGAACTGAATCCTCTGAAGGATAGGGAACCAATGGTGTTGGGCGAGAATGGGGGAGATGGGGTCATGGAGATTGGTGCGGGAGAAGACACGGGCTGCAGAGTTGTGGATTATCTGAAGCCTGTGGAGGGAGGAGTTGGGAAGGCCGACAAGCAGGGGGTTTGCATAGTCGAGCCTGGAGGTGATGAAGGCATGAACAAGAGTTTCAGTGGCCTGAGGTGTGAGGTAGTGGCGGAGTCTGGCAATGTTACGGAGGTGAGGGAAGTCAGAGCGGGTCATGGCTTGGATGTGGGGAAGAAAAGACAGTTGAGGATCAAACATGACACCTTGGTTCCTGACTGGTGAGTTGAAGTGTGCAACCGTGGAGGTTGATGCTGCCAGAACCTGAAGTGCAGAGGCGCTGGCGCGAGCAATCAGGAGAGCCTCAGTATTGTTCACATTCAACTGTAGGAAATTTACCCTCATCCAGGACTTGATGTCCGACAGACAGTCTGTCAGGACAGCAGTGGTCCTGGTGACAATGGGCACTCACTGCCTGGGATCTTATGTGAAAACTACTCATTTGCCGGGAGGACATAGTAAAACTACTATGTTTGGGAAACTGGGGATGGAAAAAGATGTGAGATGTATTTATAATTAAAATGACCTTAATTCAATATGTTTGAAAAGCATCTAGGAGACCAAAAGCAGCTGAGATCCAAATTGCATGTATGTGATGGAAATACCATACATTATTCACATGTCAACTAAAAACATTTGTGTTCTCCAGGACTCAGCTCAGGCTGTGAAATAGAACATTGAAATACAGTCAAATAATAATAATTCTTGCATTTGATGTACTTTGTTGCGATATCTCACAGAATATACTTTGAAGTGGATTGACTGTGTATTTTGTGGCGAAATGCAGCAGCCAATTGTGCACAGCAGCGTCCCACAAACAGTTGTGGTTTGAGTGACCACATTTTTTTAGAGGGATTATTACCCCATCAATCGACTAACAACTGGGTCCCTACTTACTGCTAAGTAAACAGAGGCATGTGGAGAAAGGAAATTTGTATAAGTATTTGCCCCGCCCGGGAATCAAACCCAGGTCCTCTCGCTTGTGAGGCGAGCAGCTAACCATTACACTATGTTAGGATCCATGTTAGCCTTCTGGATACATATCTGAAAAGTAGTAAATTGTAGGCATATGAGAAAATGGGACTGGATAGATTGCTCTTTCAAAGATGCGAGGGGTTGGATTGTTTTCTTCTGGTGTGCCTATATATAGTGCTTTGCAATCTGCCAAAATGTCTGGTCTCTCAGGTATCTCTCTTTGACTCAAACAGACATCTGGACAGTGACAAACACGTATACATGTATATAAAGTGTGTTTGTCAGTGAAATTATAACGTGAGGAATAGATGTCGAGCTGTTTTCTGACGGGTGACCTATTTCTACTTGTCTGAAACTATCTTTAATCCATGCTGTACAATTGAGCTTGGGGGGAATTGGAATAAAACCTGGATTTACTCCTGCTGTGTTTGTCATTTGTCATTTTTCTCTGAATTCTTTAAAATAAGAGTCTCAATTAACATCACATAGATTTTTTGTTAAAATGTGTTTTTATTCGAAACATTTAGTACCTATATTTCTTAAAATGTAAAGCTTATTGATCTGAATAACCACTCCCAAATTTNAAAAAAGCAACTGATGATGAAGTGTTTGAGATTGCAGTATTGTTTGAAATTGAAGTGCAATTTTACGGAAAAATGAACAAGAATATTTGCAGATTTAAAATGACAAAATTTACTTTGATACAATTGTAAGCATGTCCATATTTAAAGAACAGTGATCTAGTTCAAAATAATTATTTTTTTCTTTGCAAGGAATACAGTCGTATAACAATAATAATAATAATACTTGCATTTGATATAACAGCTTATCGCATGGTCTCAAAGCACTTCACACAATTTTTACTGTGAAGTGTTCTGCCAGTGTATTTTATACGCTTAATATGCTACTCAGAAATAGGATATCTTACAAACTGATGGAAGACTAACAGCTTTCGTATGCATTTAAGTGTACTGTGAGAAGATGGTTTTCAAGTGTAAGGCTTTCCAACCAGATACAAACAACAGTATAGTATTCTACAAAAAAGTACTCAAAACGACGAACATATTTAGTCTACATCTAAAATAAAAGGGAAACCATTGTGTGTCGCTGCCAAAAGAGGCTAGACAACATGTGGACTGTATTTTTACATGTGTGAAGCAGATTAAAGAGCTTTTAATTTATAACTCTCTTCAACAACAACAAGAACAACAACAAATTACATTTGTATAGCACTCTTCACATCGGAAAGATGTCCCTGGGCGCTGGACAATTAGGGGTTTTGTACCCGAGTTGGGAGTTGGGGTCAGAAGTGGATGAGGGCATGCGAGGTGGAGAGTAGGAGGATGGCTGAAAGTATGATCGAAGAGGAAGATCTTCAGATGGGACTTGAAAGAGGCAAGAGAAGGGGTGAGGTGTAGGGATTGCGAGATAGAGTTCCAAAGTGTGGGGCCAGAGATGCTGAATGCCCGACCTCCAATGGTGGGGTGGGAACTTTAATATAGAGAGCATTTGCCGATACCACAGGTAGCGAAATAAAGAGAAAAAAAAGACATAGCATGGCAGTGAATTATAACTGCTGGTCATAACAGTTCTGACGAAAGGTCATCGATCTGAAATGGTAAGTCACTTTCCACTCTCCATAGATGCTGCATGACCTACTGAATGTTCCCAGTGACTTCAGTTTTTATTTCAGATTTCCAGCATCTGCAGAATTTGCCTTTCAAATATTTATGAATGTGGTGCATTTATGAACTTTACTTCATGTGCAGCCAACTTTCTCGAAATGGAAAGAGGTGTGCAGCGGTGTCCCCCAGGGAACGGTATTGGGACCACTGCTTTTTCTGATATATATTAATAATCTGGACTTGGGCATAGAGAGCACTATTTCCAAGTTTGCAGATGATACAAAGTTAGATAGGGCAGTAAATAGTGAGGAGGACTGTAACCAGGCTGGAGAAGTTAGGACTTTTTCCATTAAGAGCAGAGAAGGTTACGCGGGGACCTGATCGAGGTCTTCAAGATCGTGAAAGGTTTCGACAGACTAGATAAGGAAAAGCTGTTTCCGCTGGTAGGTGTGTCTGTGACCCTTAAGATATCTATCAAAAGAAGCAGAGGGGAGGTTAGAATAATTTTTTTCACTCAGTGAGTTGTTGGAATTTGGAATGATCTGCCTGAAAGGGCAGTGAAGTCCGATTCGATAACAACTTTTAAGAGAGAACTGGATAGGTATCTGGGGAAGATGGGTTTGCAGGGTTATGGGGAGAAAGCTGGTGATTGGGATTAGTGAAAGTGACTTGCTCTGTCAAAGAGCCGGTACAGACTTGATGGGCCGAATGGCCTCCTTCTGTGCCGTAACATTCTATGAATCTATGAAAACTTTAGTACTGCCTGTTAACTTAGAGATCTTGATCTTGATCCCCTCATCCAAATAAATACTTACATACTCACTGTCTCCCCATCACCGAATGGATCGACTTCAAGCTCCTCACACTCGTGTTTAAATCCCTTCACTCCCTGGTACCTCCCTACCTCTCCGACCTTCTCACTCCCCAGTCCATCACCAGGCGCCTCCGCTCAACTGGCACCGGCCTCCTACTCATCCCTCACACCCTCCGTCCCACCATCGGGGGTCGTGCTTTCAGCCACTACGCCCCAAAACTCTGGAACACACTCCTCAATCCCGCCACCTTGCCTCTCTCTCCCCTTTTTCAAGTCCTGCCTGAAAACCTTCCTCTTCAACAAGTCTTTATGATAACTCTCTTCAACAACAACAAGAACAAGAACAAACTACACTTGTATAGCACCCTTCACAAACTGATGGAAGACTAATGCCTTTAGTATGCATTTATTATTTTCAAATATAGGTTTTATTAACGTTTGAACAGACAAGTCAGCTACACTGTATCCCTTACACAGATATACTAGGCAACAGACAGAATCAAAATCATATTACTCTCTACTCCTCCGCTTTCACTTTTAATGGTCACTTTCTTACTGGAGGTAAATTCCCTCACCCCTGTACATACACATAGATACAATAGGACCGATATTGATTCCACTGGGAAGTGCGCTGACCCTCTACACTACTCCAACTATTTCAAAGTTAAATCTTTCTTTTATGCGTTTCTACCTCCACCTCCCCTTGTCACAGAGATAGCCCTCACCCATCACAGGCTGCTTTGCACGAGAGAGATACGGACAACTTCTGGGCAGCCTCCTACTTCCTGCTTGTTTCTCAGCCTTGAGATAGGCAGGTGTCTGAGGCTGCAGCCTTTACTTTCTGTGGTCCATTGTTCTTACATCTGTGCTCAAGGACCCAATTCCTCATTATCTCAGAAGAGTGAACAACTTCCCAGGAAAATATGAAATGTAATCAGAAGCTAATCTCAACCCATCCAGCAAAACTACTTCTAACCTCCAATTCTTCTGGAGCATTTGGTTGCTGCTATCAATATACCAATGTATCCTGAGGTGATAGTCAGTATATTTCACATTAGGGCCACCCTCCACCCCACCCCTCCCCCCCCCCACCCCAATGGCTCTGCCATTGTTAAGCTCTCTGAGACGCTACCCTACGTGAAGGGCGACTGTTTGTGAAACACTGCTGTGCGCAATTGGCTGCCGCATTTTGCCCACAAATATACAGTCAACTCACTTCACAGTATACTCTGTGAAGCGCTTTGAGACGCCTAGAAGACGTGAAAAAGCGCTATATCAAATGCAAGGATCATTATTATTATTATTATATATAAGTGCAAGCTATTGAAGCTGTTGTAAATAAAATGTCACCAATAACAAGAGACACGTTTGTTCTGATTCAATGCGCTATTTTATTATCACAGCAAAACTGGAAAATAAGAGGTAATCACTGCAGCGCACTGGAGGCAGATGTGAAAGCTGCAGTGGTGAATGCGAAGAAAAGAGGCGACACACAGATTAAAATAAGCAAAATCCAATTTCGACACAGATCGAATGAACACCAGTATCCCAAACCCCCACCCCAGCCTGTTGGGTCGGTAACGCAGACTTCCAAACATTGAGCGGCTTTTATTTCAAAGAAAACTATTCACAAGCATGTAGACCTCTGGATGGTCTGTTCGAGAAGCCGAGACCCGAGAGAATGATGCCTCACACCGCAGGAGTACACCTCGTGTGTGGTCCATTCGGAGGCTGACAAGGTCAGGCAACTGCTCACACTGTAGGTGTTGTCAGTCCCCATTAAACTTGGACTCGTCTGGACACCCGTTTCTGTTACATTGCCGTCCACACTCCATTGAACTTGAACCGAATCCGGATAAAAATTATTCACGAAACACACGAGGGTCGCCGCGTTTGCTGTCGAGATCTGATCGGACGCCGGAGGGAGAAGCAACACCGAAGGGGTGGATGTCGGTTTGTCTGAAATAAAGATCGTATGAGTTAGTTCATGTTTAAACCAAACATTTCAAGGAACATGGTTTAACCGCATCATCTGAACACTGTAGGAGGTTTAGAATGTTTTTAATTTTTTTTTTAATCGAAGCAAACTAACTGTGAATTAAACAGATTTATAATTGTGTTGTTTTGTCATTCAGCGGTCTGACCAATTATTAATAATAATAATAATAATAATAATATTCCTCGCATTGGATAAAACTCCGTATTAAATCGTCGAAATGTTTCAGTGCGCTTCGCAAGATTCACTGTAGAGATAGAGGCAAACTGAATTAATTCTGGTGAAATGCACAGGGGAGCAAAACATATCAATATATTTGGGTTGCATTTGACAAATACAAATACATCGCGAGTAATGTCCCACAATGATTTACATCACAATATAGGAAGTTTAACATTTCGTTTAAAGTAACTCTGGATCGGAATTCAAACCAACACAGGAATTTTATGCGGCTGCATTCTGCATTCGCTGTGCCTTTTCTCTAAACCTGTTGATTTTGGAGAGGAATACTTTCGCGTTGATTGTTATATCTGTACCCGATTACATCTATGCTTTTTGAGGACACACGTGAGATTGTCTGAAATCAGTCAAGTGTAATATAACCTTTGTCAAAAAAAAACCTTTGTTAAATACTTAATTTATTGCATTAAAAAGACAATACGCATTGCGTTTGTCAATGAAACAAAAAGTGTTTTCATTGAAAATGCACACCCCGCGCCTTTCACGGTAAATATCCAACAGGGAATAAAAATAACGATGAAGGTTCATTGGATTGCCCAAAAGTCGCACGTGAACCAAAATGTCCCATGAATGATTTTCCATAATTTTGTAACGGCTTTCGTTATCCGCACCTATCCTTGTGAAAGATAACAAGTGAAACATTTAGTCCAGAAATTGGGAACTGGTGTTCTTAACTAAAGTTTCCCTGGTTAATGTTGATTCCTGTTGTGAAAAATTAAGGTGAGTGGATGAAGGTTTACAAGGGATAAATTAATACAGTTCGAGAGCAAGATTGTCAACGCTTGGAAAGAAAGTCCATGAGAGCGAGAGGAGCAAAAGAGAGGTAAGTGATTAGAAAGGCAATCTTAAAACAAAGGTTCCTTGCCAAGGGCACAACTGGAGGAAACAGCACAATAATGTCAAGGTTTACTTGCTGTGAGTACAGAGTACACGTTTCCCACGGGGATAACGAGAGGGTTTAGCCAAGTAAGTGGACAAAGAGGGAAAGCAGTGCGGGTAAAAAAAGAAAGCACAAAAAAAAAGTTGTGAACAAAATTGCAGGTCCCATCAGATAAAAATGTTTCACTTACCCAGAACATTCAGTTTAGTGCCGCCACCGAAGGCTCTGGCGTCGTCGTTTTCGGTGGATGTATAACAGAAATAGTCGGCGGCATCATCCGCCTGCACACTTTGGATAATCAAACGTCCAACATTTGTGCTTTCGTCTTCAAGACCAGAGAATCTGTCTGGAATCCCGGAGCCTCTGGTAGCGTTGCCTTTCACCACGAACCGCGGAGCGCCGCCACCTTTCTGTTGTAACCAGTACACATACCTCTTTGAGAGGCTGACACCCCGCACTGCACAATCCAGTGTGATCTTTTCTCCCGGCGCACAGTTAGGGTCAACTGTCCACTGGCATCTGCTGATTAAAGAATACATTGTTAAATCCAAATGTTACAAATGTAAATGCAAGTTGTTATCGTTAAATCCGCCCAGAAAGCAAAGCGTAAAGAACATCCACATTTTCCTTCGCGAATAGTCACCTATTTTTTTTTTGCTAAAGCGATCATAAAACGCTCCTAAAATTCCTTACAAGTCACACCCAACTGACAAGCGATGGAGAAATTACACGATTTCGTATGTTTTGAGTTAAAGCTCTGTGTCCCGTTAGAAGCAGCAAGAAAAAATCCGAGCATAGCTTCGTGAGTCAATGCCCCCAATCCGGTTTTCCACCGTGGGATTCCGCAGCGCGGTCCTCACCGTGCAGACAGAGCAGGAGGGCGGACAGAACTCCAAGCCACTCGCTCATTGCGAAGAGTCTGATGAAGATCCGCAACGAAAAAAAAGATGTCTTTCCTGATGCGAAGCTGGTTCGTGGGCTCCTTGTGAGCTTCTCCTTAAGAGCACCGTGAAACCCACCGCTCTTCACTTTGCATTCACTTAGTTATGCAAATCCCCCTCCCAGTCTGCCCATCTGATTTACTTTATTTCTCTGTGCGATGGCTCCCAACAGATCTACTTCCTTCATTTCTCACCGACATCCAGTAATGACTTATAGTAATTATCAATATATTGTAACCGTGTCGACCAGCAGATTGGCAGCTTTTCTCTATGCCCGTTAGATTTTATTGTATGGTAGAGGTTACAGGTGGGAATTATCAGGTCATCTTCACAAGGAAAGCATGCATGTATCTATTGTATGTTCACACAAGGCATCTCATTCTACCCATGTAGTTTAACACGTATAAAGCAGATCCTACTGGCTGAATAGACTGCTGCCTCTGCAATCAACATGTTCGCTCTCTCTGTTCTCACAACAGTCAGAGAAACATGGGACTGATATGTGCGAAGGTAAATTCAGAAAAGGCCCACTTGATTAACTTCAGAGAGGGACAGAGCTATAGGGAAAGATTGGCCAGCCTGGAACTTTTCCCCGCTTGAAAAGAGATGGGAGATCTTTGAAATTATGAAATTGTAATTTCAATACAGCTAAGTTCAAAAAGAAGAGTTCTAAGCTTCAAAATAAGGATGACATGAGTGAATGGAAAATATAGGTAAATAATGTAAAAATACAAGGGTGAGAAGCCTGTGGCACTTTCAGGCAAGAGGAAAGGGTCATGACTAGTTTAAGCAAAGAACTAGGGAAATTCCTGATAATTAAAAGCATGTAGGGTTATTGGGTGATGAGATAAAGGAATCTTTTGGAAAGTTGGATGGGTAGGCAAAAATGACCAATGGTTTATTCCTGCCTGAAACTATCTGTCACGATTATGGTGAGTTATGATAGGATTAATGATAACAGATCATTTCCACTTATCAGTAACTGTTAGGTACATATTTAATATATTTAGAAAAATAATTAGAGATGAGAAAATATATTTACACAATAGTTGATGAGAATGTAGAATTATTTCCTCCAAACTATAGTTGAGAAAGCTGATAAATCTTTTAAAAGGGAATTTTATGTTATTAATATATAAGCCTTCCATTTGTTATAGCGCCTAGAATGTCAAAATGTGTCATAGCATTTCAAAGGCAATTGCTGTCAATGGGATGGATTATTAAAGAGGGGGAACATTATAGAATATGGTGGGTGGTTAGGGGGAATTCTGTGATTGCAGAGTAAAAATAGTTGACGGAAGGAATTTGAAGTCAATGTATATATGCAGTGTAATTAATTTTTTTTTTAGAAATTAGACTCCCTTGTTTGCACAGAAAATAATATGGAAGTCCTGTTGAAACATTAATTGAATCTCTTTAATAGTTATGTTTGAAGGCTTTTGATTGCTCTTGGTTCTCAGAGGATCAAAATGAGTCAATAGACCTGAATTCTACCAACAGACATGACCTACTGAGGGGCAATGGGACCTTATGATGAAATAATAAATATGGGATTCAAAAAAACATTTCATTGTTGGCTAAGATTACTTAGCTGCTAATGTCCACATTACATTCCTCCAACAGATGTCATATATTGCTGTTGTGTTGTGAATGAACAGAAAAGATAAGGAAGCAAAGAACGAGCATTACAAACTTTTATGCATGAATTCATAGAATAGAATCATAGAATCGTACAGCACAAAAAGAGGCCATTCGGCCCATCGAGTCTGTGCCGGCTCTTTGAAAAGAGCAATGTAATGTCAACCCTACTCCCCAGCCCTTTCCCCATAACCCTGCAGACTCATCTTCCTCAAATACCTGTCCTCCGTATTTTTAAAAGTTGTTATCGAATCGGCCTCTACCACCCTTTCAGACAAAGCATTCCAGATTCAAACAACTCGCTGCGTGAAAAAAATTCTTCTTACTTCCCCTCTGCTTCTTTTAGAAACTATTTTAAATTTGTGATCTCGAGTCACCGACACACCCACTAGTGGAAACAGTTTTTCCCTTTCTAACCTATCAAATCCCCTCATAATTTTGAAAACCTCTATTAGGGCTCCTCGTAACCTTCTCTGCTCCAATGAGAATAATCCTATCCTCTCTAGCCTTTCCTCACATCAAGGTCCCTCATTCCTGATACCATTCTTGTAAATCTCCTCTGCACCCTTTCCAATGCCTTAACATCCTTCCTATAGTGTGGTGCCCAGAACTGGGCGCAGTATTCTAACTGAGGCCTAACCAGTGTTTTATATAGGTTAATCATAACCTCCTGACTCTTGTACTCTATGCCCCTATTTATAAAGCCTAGTATCCCATATGCCCTTTTTACAGCTTTATCTACCTGTCCTGCCACCTTCAAGGATTCATTTACCTGCACCCCAGGTCTCTCTGTTCTTTCACCCCAGTTAAGATTGTATTACCAGCCTATATTGCCTCCCCTCATTCTTTCTTCCAAAATGCATTACCTCGCATTTCTCCACATTGAAATTTATCTGCCATGTGTCTGCCCATTTTACCATTCTGTCTATGTCTTCCTGCAGTTGGCTACTATCCTTCTCACTGTTTACCACCCTACTTAACTTTGTGTCGTCCGCAAACTTGGAAATGGTACTTGCTATACCCAAGTCCAGATCATTTTTGTATATTAAGAAGGCCAGTGGTCCTAATACCGATCCCTGGGGGACGCCACTGTACACTTCCCTCTCCAGGTAGAAAAGCAGCCGTTCACCACAACTCTCTGGTTTCTGTCTCCCAGTCAGCTCTGGATCCGCTGCCACTATTCCTTTTATACCATGGGCTTCTATCTTTCTTACAAGTCTTTCATGTGGCACTTTGTCAAATGCCTTTTGAAAGTCCATATAAACTACATCAACTGCACTACCTTTATCCACCCTCTCCGTTACCTCATCGAAAAATTCTATTAGATTTGTTAGACAAGATTTGCCTTTAACAAATCCATGCTGGCTGTCCCTAATTAACCCATATTCTTCTAAATGAAGATTTATTCTGTCCCGGATTATAGTCTCCAGGAGTTTCCCCACTAACTGATGTTAGGCTGACTGGCCTGTAGTTCCCAGGTTTGTCCTCCTGTCCCTTTTTGTACAGGGGAGTAACATTTGCCACTCTCCAGTCCTCCGGCACCACTCCTGTGTCCAACGAAGATCGAAAAAGCCTCCGCTATTTGTACCCATGCCTCCCATAGTACCCTTGGCTGCATCCCGTCCGGACCGGGCGACTTATCTACCTTGAGTCCAGTCAACCTTTTCAGTACTTCCTCTTCTTTTATAATTATTCTATCCATTTCCTCTCCCCTCTCCTCCGATACGTGGCATTTGGTGCATCCACTTCTTTTGTGAAGACAGATGCAAAGTACTCATTCAGTACATCAGCCATGTCCTCTGCCTCCACAATAAGATTTCCGCCTTGGTCCTTAATTAACTCCACCCTACCTTTGACTAACGTTTTTTTCTTGATATGTTTGTAAAATATTTTAGGATTCTCTTTAATGTTACCCGCTACCTTTTTTGTGTAACCTTTTTTCCCCTCTTATTTCCTTTTTCAGTTCTCTTCTGTACTTCCTGTATTCTGTTTGATTGTCTTCTGTATCTTGGGATTGACATTTGCCTCTTTTTTTAACCAATATCATGGATCCCAACGTGGATCACCACTTCTGGATGTTCCCCTTCCCCCTGAAGAATTTTATCCACCCATTCCATGATGTCTAAGACCGTTGCACCAGGGAGGCAACATACCATCTTTGACTCCCGTCTTCTGTTACAGAAATGCCTGTCTATACCTCTCACTGTTGTATCCCCTGTGACAATAGCATTGCTCCTGTTACCTATGTCCTCCTGTTCAACCAATTGGTTTTTACTGTCCTCCCTGGAGCTATCAACACTCTCAATGTTCAGTATAGAGTATCGGTTTGCAAGTGCTACGCTATTGGGGGCATTCTGCCCAGCCTGTCCCCTCTTCCTACCATGCCGGACAGTCACCCAGTCATTTTCCATCTGAACCCTCAGTGGCTGTGGGATGACCACCTCCTGAAGTGTCTGGTCCTTTAAAACCTCACATCCGTTGTACAAGTTTGAAGCCCAAGGCTCCATCACCCACTCTCAGGGGTTCCATTATCTGCAGGACTGATAAAACTATCCTGTCCCTGACCACTAACCAGATGCAAGCATCTCCCGAGCTTCAGGGGAGTGATGGTTTCCTCCATCATACTGTCCAGGAACCTCTCACTGTCCCTGATGGAGCGCAGTATCTGCACCTCAGCTTCCAGCTCAACTACTCTCAGCTGGAGCTTCCTGAGTTGCAGACACTTACCGCAGATGAAGTTACCCGGGCTCAGGGTGCCCTCCATTAACTCCCCCATGTCACAGTCCTGGCATTTCACTTGCCACATCATCTTCTCACACAGTGTTTTCAATATATATATTTTTTCTTTTTTCTTTTTATTTGTCGTCAGTGTTGTAGTTTCTGACAGTTCCTTGTTTGTCGATGTCTCCCTGGTTCTGCTGTTGAAAATGACGTCACACCAACGTCACTTTTCGTTTTTCTGTAGCTCCGACAATTCCTATCTTACCTCAGCCACTGCCTCCGCCTCCGCTCTGTCCTGACTCCCCTCCCAGTATTCTCTGAGCACTAAGTCGAAAAGCATGGAATTCAGCTCCCACCTTCAAAACAATATGCAAAATACATCCATATAAAAAAACTTTATGTTTTAACCTTTAAAAGAAGAGTCTTAGAATAATGACACAAAAAAGTCTAAAATCCCCATATCTTGCCACAGTTGTTGAGAAAATTGGTATAGCTTGCCATGGCTGAGGAGAGCTATTATCTAGATTTTGTAGATAATAATAATCCCTAATAATCTTAAACTTGATATAGCACTTTTCAACAATTCAAAGGATTCTGTGATAGAGGGAGAATCATAGAATCATACAGCACAGAAGGAGGTCATTCAGCCCATCGTGTCTGTGCCGGCTTTTTGAAAAGAGCTTTTCCAATTGAATCCCACTCGCCCGCTCTCTCCACATTGCCCTGCAAACTTGTCCTCACCAAATAATTATCTCTCTTAAAAGCTGTTATTGAATCGGCTTCCACCATCCTTTCAGGCAATGCATTCCAGATCCGAGCCACTCGCTGTGTAAAAAAACATTTCTCTTCACCTCCCTTCTGTTTCTTTTATCTATTTTAAATTGGTGTCCTCGGGTTACCGACCCAACCACTAGTGGAAATAGTTTCTCCTTGTTCACCCTATCGAATCCCCTCATAATTTTGAAAACTTCTGTTAAATCTCCTCTTAACCTCCTCTGCTCCAAGGAGAATACTCCAAGCTTCTCCAGCCTTTCCTGATAACTGAAGTCCATCATTCCTGGTACCATCCTGGTAAATCTCCTTTGCACCCTCTCCTTCCTAAAGTGTGGTGCCAGAACTGAACACAGTACTCTAGCCGAGGCCTAACCATTGTTTTATAAAGGTTCACCATAACTTCCTCACTTTTGTATTTTATGCCCCGATTTATAAAGCCAAGTGTCCCGTATGCTTTTTTAACAGCTTTATCTATCTGTCCCTCCACCTTCAAAGCTTTACTTATATGAACCCCAGGTCTCTCTGTTCCTTCATCCCCTTTAAGATTGTACCATCAGCTTATATTGCCTCTTCTCATTCCTCCTCCCAAAATGAATCACTTCGCATTTCTCCACATTGAACTTCATCTGCCACGTGTCTGCCCATTTTACCAATCTGTCTATGTCTACGAGAACATGCAACCATATCTGTTCAGTTAATATTATAATCCACAGTAGTGAAACTGGGGAAGATTTCATCCACCCCAGGGGAAGATTTCATCCAGCCCAACCATTCCCTCCCTTCCTGCTGAACCATTTTGCCATAGCAGTGGCAGGAGCTGGCGGGTGGTTGGTCAGAAGATGTGCTTGCCTCCCACTCAGCTTCAGAAGATGTCCTTGATACCCTGCAACAATGGGCAGTTTTACTTCCACTCCCACTGCTCAATGCACTACATTGCGTCAGGAAGTCCCTCCAGAGCTGATGGAAAGGCAAGCTGGTTTCCTTATCCACTACGTGCTCCCAAGCTGGCTCCTGCCGCTGCCAAATAGTGAGCCTCCTGCATGCGCAGTCGGGAGAGCGACTGTTTCCGCTGGCAGATAGTCAGAATGTGTGATTGAGAGAAATGTAGAGAGGAGATGTGAGAGTGATTGAGAGAGAGAGGAGAGGGGATGGGATGAGAGAGAAAGTGAAGGGGTGGGGTGGGGGTGTTGGAGGGGAGAGAGAGAGTGTGAAAGGATAGTGCAAGAGTGTAATTGAGAGAACAAGTTTGTGTGAGAGAGGGGCAGGAAGAGAATGTATACATGAAAGTATGTGAGGGGATGACTGGGAGAGATGGGTGAAAGAGAAAATTGAGAGAGAGGGTGTGAGAGCAAAGCGGAGAGAGAATAATTGAGAGAGGGGGTGGGTGGGGAGAGAGTGATTAATTGTCAAAGGGAGAGTGATTGAGAGAGAATGAGTGTGAGGAAGAGGGGAAGAGGGACAAACAGAGAGAGAGAGGAATGAAGAGGAGAGAGAAGGGAAGTGAGGACAGCATTCTTGATTCACTAACAGCTACCATGGGTGGGGGTGGTGGGGGGATGGGTTCTGAAGACAGACACAGAGCGACGTGCTGTACTGTGCCATTTCCTCACAGCAAGCTCCCTCTTTCCCCAGTGAGAAACTCCTCTACGGCCTTCATCTCCCCTCACCACCCTACCCTGTGATCTCTCGACTCGGCCATTACATTTACCCAGCAAACACCCACTTGCTTCATGTTCCCCCATCCCATTTGCCCCAACATCGCAATTTTGCCACCACTCTCTGGAGCTCCATTTCCAGAGTCCCTCCAACTCGCTCTCTCTCTCTCCCCTCTTCTACCGCCTGTGGAAGATCTCCCCGCAATCCCTCTCCGCTGCCCTGGAGTCCGCTGAACTACTCCCACTGTGGCCCACCTCTTGCATCAACCCACTCGCTGCGCTTACTCTTCTCCAAAGCACGTTCTCCACCACACTTGATGCCCTTGCCCCCCTCACCTCCCGAGCTGCCTCCTATTCCTGATCATCACCCTGGTTCACCAGCCACCTCCACTTGCTTAAAGGCCAGGTGCGGGGTGCTGAACGCACTTGGCTCAAATCCGGCTTAAAGCTCCACCGCTACATCTGGCTGGATCTCATCAAAACCTACCGCTCTGCTCTCGCCTCAGCCAAATCGTGCTTCTATTCCAGGTTAATCCTGGAGGCAAATGGCAAACTCAGGCTCCTGTTCTCCACCACTAACCGGCTCCTCCGCCCTCCCCGCCATGCCTCGCAGATTCTTTCCTCTGTGAGAAAATGTTGGACTTCCTCGAGTCCAAAGTTGAGGGAATCCACTCAGCTGCCACTGCCCTCCCAACGTCTACCCCCTCCCTACCCCCACCCACACTCTGACAACTACCCGTCCCTCCTTCCACACCTTTGCATCTGTCACCCCCTCTTCTGTCTTTACCACCATATCCTCCATGAAGCCCACCACCTGCTCCCTGGATCCCATTCCCACCTCTCTCCTTAAATCCCAGCTCCATCTCCTTGCCCCACTACTCGCTGACATCATCAACCTCTCCCTGTCATCTGGCACTATTCCTTCCCTCTCAAAACAGCCACTATCACCCCCACCTTGAAGAAACCTTCCCTTGACTCATTACAGCTATCCAGCTACCAGCCCATCTCAAACCTTCCTTTCTTATCCAAGGTCCTTGAGAGAGCTGTTGCCTCCCAGCTTCTCTTCCCTCTCCTCTCACTCCCTCCAATCGGGTTTCTGTGCTGCCCACAGCATGGAAACTGCTCTGGTTAAGGTCACAAACGACATCCTGACCATGTGCAACCAGGACTCCCTCTGCCTCCTCGTTCTCCTCAACCTCTCTGCTGCCTTTGACACTGTGGACCATTCAATCCTCCTCCACCGCCTCTCCTCCCACCTCAACTTTCAAGGTTCCGTCCTTGACTGGTTCAGGTCTTACCTTTCACACCGCCTCCACTTTGTCGCAGCAAACGGCTTCTCCTCCAGTCCCCGCACTGTCTTGTGCGGTGTTCCTCAGGGCTCTGTCCTCGGTTTCCTCGTATTCACCCTCTACATGCTCCCCCTTGGTGACATCATCTGCAGACATGGAGTAAATTTCCACATGTATGCGGATGACACCCAACTCTATCTCTTTGCCTCCACCCTCAACTCCTGGATGACTGGCGTCCTGACCGACTGCCTGTCTGACATTAAGTCCTGGACGAGGGACAGCCTTATCCAACTCAACGTCAGCAAGACTGAGGCCCTCCTGATTGGCTCGTGCCAGCGCCTCCACACTTCGGGCGCTGGCAGTATCAGCATCCACAGCTGCACACTCAACTTCACAGACCCAGTCAGGAACCTGGGTGTCTTGTTTGACCCTGAACTGTCCTTTCTCCCACACATCCGCGCCATGACCAGCACTGCCTACCACCACCGCAGCAACATTACCAGACTCCGCCACTGCCTCACCCCTCAGGCTGCTGAAACCCTTATCCATGCATTCATCACATCAAGGCTCGATTACGGAAATCGGCCTTCCAAATGTTTCTTTTCACAAGATGCAGATCATCCAAAACACTGCAGCTCATGTACTCTCACCCACCAGGCTCCGTGACCCCATCATTCCTACCTCACCCAACTCCACTGGCTCCCCATCCATCAGAGAATTGAATTGAAGATCCTCGTCCTCACTTTCAAGGACATCCATGGCCTTGCCCCTTCGTACCTCTCTGACCTGCTGACTCCCTACCAACCTGCCCGCGCCCTCCGTTCAGCCTGCTCCGGTCTGCTCCATGTGTTCTGCCCAGCCCCCCCTACCATTGGTAGCTGGACTTTCAGCCTTTCTGCCCCCACACTGTGGAACTCCATCCCACGGTACCTTTGCCTCACTTCCTCCCTTGCCTCCTTCAAGGCCGGTCTCAAGACTCTTCTCTTCGATTGTGCCTTTGGTTGCCCTACCACCTCTCTGCCTTCCCTCACCCCTGTACCTCCCCTCCCCAATGCTCAGGTCCCGACC